CCAGAGCTGCAGGGACACAGGGCACTGGGCCACATCCCTCTGCTGTCACAATAAACCAGCAGTGGACATGACAGAAAGAATTGCCACTGTTAGGTTTCCTCAAGTTACATTTTAGGGTAAATTGTGTATTAGGACAGGCAGCGGGGCCAGCACCGATGCAGTTTAAAGTTGCAGAGGTCTTGTGGTTGCCTTTGGTCAGAAATCAGAACATTTTTAGAAAGCTCTTTTCAGACTAAGTTTTTCAGGATTGATTGCCATCCAAAAAGTGATATGGTGCAGACAAAGGATAGGAAAATCCCTTTCACATGGAGGGAGGGCTGTGAACTGTGAATGAAGAGCAGTCTTTCCTAGTACAGTGAAATGGGTTTGAGGTAGACTGCTGGGAGAGGGCATGTGAGGGCTGAGGTGGAGGCAGAGCAGGAGGGTTTGTGCTGCACAGTGCTGTAATTGCTTGTGCTCCTTTGCCAGCTCACTGATTCCACCTCGCTCGGGTGTGGTGTTAAAAGGGAGCCGAGGATGGGAAGTCCTTGCTCCGAGCTCTGGAAAGCCACTGGCTGGGGGTGCTGCTGGGGTTGTGGGGAGGYGTGAGCCTGGCTCCTGCAGTGCTGTGTGTCCATGGAGAGGGCTGCAGCAACAACACTGCCCGACCCTTGGGGCGGTTCACTTGAAGGGCCCTGAGGGGACACCCCACACTGTGGCAGCTTTCTACGGCTCAGCCGTARAAAAACATCTTAGTGTTTACCAGCCGTTGCTGGTAAACACCAAGATGTGTTTGTGCGTCTGTCTGTGAGCTGTGTGTGAATGAGTAGCAGAAACAGGACACCTTGTCCTGGGAGTCCCTGTTTCAGGGGCAGTGTTTGTATGAATCACAAGTACCCACGGCACAGCAAACAGGTGGCTGCTCAAGAAATGAAAGAACATGCTCGGTATCCCCKACAGCCGTGACAGTCTCAGAGAAGGAGTGCTTTTGTGTGTTGACAGGTTCATCCTTTTGAAGATGAGGCAATTATCTGTGTGAGTTCACTCTGTGGCTTTCAGAACTGAGTGGGTATGATCAACTCCAGTGACATCTCCAGTGGCTCATCCCTGCAGCGGTGTATCAGGGTGGGAGTGGGTAGGCAGGGCTGCTCTCCCGCAGTGAGTCCGTGCTGGAGCTGATTGCTCAGTGAGCCTGCTGCCTGGGATCTGTCAGCGCACTGACAGCGGGAGCGCGGGCACGCAGAGCTGCGGGCACGGGCTGGCACGTGGCACTGGGGCTGGGAAATGCAATCCCAGCTAGTGCCTGTTATAACCAGGGACAGTTACTGTGTTGGGAACAGGGCACTGTACAATGGGCTTCAGTCCTGCTGGGAAATCTTGGCTATTTTACAGAATGTTTCACACAACTCAGTGAGTTCAAGGATGTGTCGAGGTCCCCAGGATGCCAGGGGATGTTCCTGTCTTTAGTGCGGGTTTTATGTTTTATCCAGATGTGTTTCGTGTTCCTGTTTTGCTCCATTTGCTAGCAAAGACCGTCTACCAAAACAGCCTCGTTGCTCACTAGTGACAATGCACGCAGGACTCAGAGGGCACACAGGGCTGGCAGAGCAGCTCAGGGTGAGCAGCTCAGTGTGAGCAGCTAAGCCTCGGGTTCCTCCTCTGCCCCAGGGCAGGCAGGAGACCCTTTTGCCCTGCAGTTCCAGGGGTATTTGGCCAAACCTCAGCAGAATCCTCCTGCTGGAATTTCCCCCAGCATTCCTTATTACAATACTAAAATAAATTATCAGAATTTTAAAAAGCACCACATTTAAAAAAAAAGTCATCATTGACAAAAGTTTCAGGGTAGTTTTCTTTATTTATTGCTCTGCAAGGGAACTGAATTGGTTTGAGTTTTTTATTGGTTCTCATTTATTTATTCCAGTGAATGCCAATTAGAAGGAAATTGGAGTTATTCTTTCTGTGGGATCAATTATTCATAASAGAGATCATTAAAAAATTAGTTTATCGGAAGCAACTCACTTCATTTTTGCTAAAACTGAAGAAGAAATTAGCCAAATTAGCTAAAATAGCTTTGAACTCCATATTGACTAAAGCATTTGTGCCAGAATAAAAACTCATGACATGTAAGAATGGTATAAATGATTAATCATTTTAGTTCATGGATATCTACATTTTTATTTAATTACATCTATGTATAACATAAACTGACTGAATCCTGGGAATCCAAGCCAGAGAAGCTGAAGAGTCTTCTTCTGTTTAACATCCACCATGTGTTGTTTTCTTGTAGGGTTAATTTGTAAAATGTAAACCACATACCATTTGTATGCAATGTTCGGGGCTATTTATAGCAAGTCCTGACCATTTATAATTATCCGACATCTTTATCCATAATGTCTGCGTGTGACTAAGGAGATGGTTATGGAACAGACAAAACAATGCTAATTTTAAAGTTGAGCCACAGTTTCTTTCATGTAAAACTTTTGGGAGTATTTTCTGCGCCATGGAATGGAGAAGGGATATGCTGTACTTGGACATCTCTTTGTTGATGAGACTGAACTTATTCCTAAACAGGAATAAGCACAGGCTTCCATTTCCCCTCTCTGTGGAGCAGAGGCTATAGGTGCAAGTGCCTTTGGAGCAGGTATGAGCCTTTCTTGGCTGTTCCATGGCTACTCAGGTTTCTCCTTTCTCTCTTTGCAGAACTCTGGATGTTTTGGTGAGTTTGAATGAAGGCCAGTCTTTCAGGTCCAGCTCGTTGACCATCACTGCTTCCGAGTGTGTAAGTGAATGACTTCCATAATCCCCACACCCCGCTTCTCTTTGGGCTTTGCCACTGCATGACCGCAGAGCAGAGAACCTCTGCTTCCACTTTCCTGTGTAAAGCTGTGCCTTTCAAAATCCTGGGAGGTGTCCCTGACCTCAGAAACTTGCTCACTGTAGTTATCATGTCCTGAGGGCCAGGTGTGACAGTCACCTGGGGTCACATTGCAGCATGGCTCTCCCTTGAGTAGGACTGGAGTGAGCAGATAGGCACAAACTTAGGCCTTCAGCCTAAGTGTGGAGAGGGGTCACAGTCCTGCAGGAGGGACTAACACTCTATGGCTCTGAGGCCTGAGCACAGAATGTAGGCTCTTAGCCCTTGTTAATCCAGGTAGACAGTCTGTCCAAGCACAGGCCAGAGTATCACACTCACACCCGGCAGTGTGAACATCCTGCTAAGTCTGATCACAGTTACAGAACAGTTAAAAACCAATTCTGGGAGAAATCACACGCTTGTTGAGCCAGTGACGATTCTAACTTAGTCCATATATTTTCTAGTCTCACCTTCCTGCTCTCCTTTAATTCCTTTTGTATTACATAGGACAGCTGGGATTTGTGGAGGGACATACAAGCCCATGATGTTGAGCATGTGCTGTGCACGTGGGCCTTTAAATGTGTCTTACCTGAAGTGTGACTTGAGAGCAGCTTTCCCATCAGGCATGGCACACGGAGAGCAGTCCCTTCTGCTCATCACCATGCATTGCTCCCAACAGGATATTTTTGCTCACAGATCAGTAACTAAATGAGAAAAAATGATGTTTTTCTTCTATTAATTTAAAAGCTCACTATTCGTGCAACTTAGAAATCAGAGAGCCAGTGCAGCCCTGCAGTTTGAAGAGAGGAAGCCTGACGGAGCTGGGAGCTGAAGGAACACCCAGAGCCCAGATCACAGTTGCTGTTTCAGGGCCTCTCAGTCGCCAGCCATTAGGGTCTACAGCCTACAGCCCTAGAGCCCAGCTGCAGCCTGCCTGTACCTCAGCCCTCACAGAGAAGGCAGCACATGGTGCCCCTGTAAGAGGTGCCAGGAATGCAGAGGGAACAGAAAATCCCTGATGCAAAGCAGCTCAGAGCCAGGGGCTAGACACAGACTTCCCATTGTGCTGCACAGCAGCTCTGCTGCTCTGTGCTCACAGCCTGCCCTGGCAGGAAGCAGAGGGGTACAGATGTGCACAGGCAGTAAAAGCTGCTGTGCTTCTCAGTAGCCTTTTTTGTCTCTTTTTATTTTCTGCTCTTGGCCTGTGCTGCAGCAAAGGCGGCTCTGCACAAGAACTGCTGTTTCTATAGTAGCAGATGGGCATCTCAAGAAATGGGTCACTGCTAGAACTGCTCACTAATTCTGGGAGCTGAGCAGCTGATGGCTGACTGGGAGATGAGTTACAAGCTACAGCCTCCTAACAAACACATGTTACTGCAGTGAAAACAAACAAAAATATACGGCATAAGGCACCCACTGTACCTGTGTGCCTCACTGCACCTGGAGTACAGCTCGGTTTGACCCCCATGTGCAGTGCAGAACCTGCAGTACAACTCTTCTTACTGGGTCAGGACTACGCACACAGTATTCCAGTCTCAGTGGGTCTCTCCTTTATTCCCCATCTGAAATCTGAGTAACTTCTCTTTTGCTAGGATCACTGCTGAGTTTCTGTCAGTGTTGTTCTAAAAGCCTGAGTGTAGGAATAAAGACATCCCCAAGAAGTGGGTTGGAGGTGTGGGAGGTGTGGGAGGTAGGCTGCTCAGTTGCGCAGGATGTGCTCCCTCCTTCAGTTTCAGATTCCCACAGCATGGCTGCAGGGAGTCAGCGTGCCACCATCTGTGCAGGAGTGTAGGAGATCAGCATCAGAGCCTCAGATTTGTCCTGTTAATAAAGATGCCTTAAAATCTCCCTCCACAGTCCCCAGTCCCTGTGTGAGACCTGTGTCCTATGGAGGAGAAGGGCACTTCTCCACAGGCTCAGGATGAGACTTCCCCTGTCTGTGTCTGATGGCTCATTCCTCCAGCTGGGCCACGTTCTGACCTAAGGGCTATCAGTTTTCTGAGTTTATATCAGAAGAAACCCCCTGAGCTGAGCAGAAGTAAGGCTGGCTGTTGGGGTGAGCAGGTGAAGCAGCACTGATGTTTCCCTCTGTCTCTGCAGTCCAGTGGCGTGGCGGCGCTCATTGCTGTCCTTGTGCTGTTGCTGCTGGTGGCACTCGGCCTGCTCTGGTGGTTCTGGCCCCTCTGCTGCAAAGTGGTGAGTACTGACTGTGGGAACAGTTGCTGCACCCTAAGCCAAGAGTGGGAAACAGAGATCCTGCAGGAAACTGGTTAAGTGACAGGGAGGCAGCYCTAGGGGAGCTTGTGACAGGTAGGAAAGGGCTGGGGAGCCCTGCACCAGCACTGGGGSTCCACTGGGCACAGCCCCTGCCTGCTGGTGAGCTGCACACTCAAGAGCCAGCATCAGGATGGAGCTGTTACTGGGATGGCCATAATGGTGGTGCAGATGTTACCCTGAAATCAAGGACCACTTTAAAAGTGCTCTCATTASAAATGGTATTTCTAGTCCATAATGGGCTCTCAGGTTGGAAATCCCTGTTTGTTTTCATAATCCCTGCACACATCCATCTCTTGAGCTGAGTGCACTCTCCATCCTCACCCCCAGCAGCAGTGCTGGTCACTTGACTCCTGCCATTCCTTTCTGGGTGGGGGCCATTAAATGGATGAAGTTTATTATTCATCCAGCTCAAGGACAGCATGAAGGACATGGGAAATAGAGATTGCTTCCAGGCTGGTCTGAGTTCCTGGTCTTGTTTGGGGCTTGTGGAATATAGGGCAGAGAGGAACTGGCCTTCTTACCTGCCCATGCTGCAGCCTTTGTAACCCATGTGGTCCATCAGCTCCCTGGCTGTCCAAGAGCAGGAAATCCTCAGCGTCCATCTGCACCCTTACAGTCTGGGGTTCGTGAGGTGAGAACAGACAGCCTCTTTTTTCTTATTTTCCACAGCACAGGCCCAACAGAAATCCAGGGAGCTTTCCAGTAGCCACCTCACCTCCACTTTATTTTATATGATGAGCCTCCCTGTGAAAAAGGAACACTGGAAATCAATAAGAAGCAAGTTCCTGGTGTTCTTGTTTTAAATAACCTAACCTTGATTCAGAAACCAGCCTAAAGTTAACATKAAAAGTTAAAATTCCTATATGAAGCAGTTCAGCGTATAGTTCTACAGTATGAATTTCCAGCCATATAAAACCATAGTTCTTCAAATGTTGGTGCCCTCTGTGTTTCCTCCCACCTTCTGAGGGTACTATTTGGTAATTCAAAAAAAAGATAATCTTAGGGCTCTTTGCTAGAGCACTGCTCAATAGCAAGCCCACGCACTGTTGCACCGAACCTACTGCCAAATACTGATCCCCCCTTCTGTCTTTGCTGGCCTTTCCTCGGGTCCTTGTGCTGGGCCTCAGCTCCTGCCCTCTCCTGCATCTCAGTCTTGCACGTCACCTGGAAGGGCCRCTTGTTGCTTAGTAGTCCTGGGCTTCAGGGTGTCCGTGAGGAGAGGGGCAGCATTAGGGCCAGGCAGGACCTGCTGTTCCCTTCCTCTGGCTCTGTTTTCCTGGCAGAGCACAGCACCTGGTTTCCTGGAACAAAGAGCAGGAATACAGGAGTCAGAACTTGATAGAAAAGAGAGGCACGGGGTATAATGGGCAGAACAAGTCTCTGGAGCCAGGTGGGTGTGTTGCCCCTGCCTGCGGGCCCAGCTCCATCCTGGCTGGAACTCGGTCTCGGCAGCGTTCCCTGGTGAGTCCCATGGACACTCAGAGGGTGGGGCAGGGGGACTCCTCTTCCTTTTCCTTCCTTGTCCCCTGCTTCCAAGGGTTTCACCATGACAGTTCTGTCACTTGTCCCTTGTTATGGAACGTATGATTGCAGCAAGGTGGCTGCAGGCTCTGTGCTGACATCTCCTAATGCCCACATCATGGAGCAGCAGAGAAGTGTTAATGAGTGGATGAGAGTCGGTGCCTCAAGCACCAACTTCTTCCTTTTCTATATGATTTTTTTAAAGAAATCAGCTCTTCTCCTAATTCAAGCTTTCATTCTTTGCAACTCACTTAATGAGATGGACCCTTGCCCAGAGAGGCTGGTGATAAAACTAAACAAACCAAGGAAGGAGCCCATCTCTGTGAGGATGGTAAGACAGCTGTGTTACTCAGAGACTTCTGCATTGAAACTATCTGAATCCAGCTCAGGAAAAGTTAATTTACAATGCTTTGGTCTTCCTCTGTGCAGTTCTGCGTGCAGCTCCATGCAGTGCTGCACATGTGCTGCACATGATTTCTCTTCTTTATAAACAGCTTTCTATATATTTCGCTTGGAATATCACATGATGGAAAAGAATCCTTGTGTGTGCACGTGCTATTCAAGTGTGTGAGTGTGAGAGCCTGTGAAAGCATAAGGATGCAGGCATTGACATTCCAGTGCTGTCAGCAGGGTGAGGAGCTGCTACTCAAAGCAGATTATTTTCTCACACCACTGTCACTTTTAAAATAAGTTTCATTTTCTGAAGCCATTAGAAATAACAGCTAATTAATGGATTGCTTGTCTTTAAACTGAATTTCCCCTCAAACTTCAGGGAGTTCAGGAGCTGGCACAGGATTAGATCTTTCACTTGGGGAGACAAATAAAAGCTGCATTGACTGTTGCCTTTGGAAGCCACAGTGAGGTCATGAAGTCAGGTTTCCCTTGTTCGGGGTGGGAATTGTGATTCCCACTTCCCAGTGGACACGGGGCCCATGGGAATCCATCCCTCATCACAGAGAGATTTGCTGGGCAAAGCTGTCTGTGCACAGACAGATGTGAAGTTTCAAGTGGCACAGGTATAGAGGGAGGAAGTACCATGCTATTTCTGATGGGCACATACAAACCTGCTGCCTAGGAGGACTTTCTCCTGAACAGCTTCCAGGCCTGGCAGAGAAATGGATTGTCTGGGGAGAATGGTTGGAGACAGGCAAAATGGAAATAAGGACAGAAGTTACATAAGGTGGCCCTTCATTGACTGAAAATGCTGCTTTTCTGTTTCCAGTCTCCTAATTGTTTTCAGTGAAAATGAAATATCTCCAGGCTTTGGAAAATACTACTCAGCATCCAAGTATCTCTCAGGATCTGTCCCACAATCCCTCTGTGTTTCTATTTCATGTAAAGTTAAAGTGTAGTAATTCCAGTGTGGCTCTCAGGAATGTTTCATTAATTAAATAATTGATTTCTGTTAAGTATTCTGGAAATTCCTGTTGGCTGGGAAGAAAACGTGTTGAGAACGATTTAAAGAAAAGCAACTTCTGGCAAAGTTTTGTAACACTGTAGCAGAAAAGGGATGYCTAGTTAAAATCCATAGTTCACTTTCCAATCTACCCAAAGCACTCTGAGCTTGCCAGATGAACCAATCTGTACCTTAAACCTGAAGGGCTATGGAAAGCTGGTTCCAGAGGTGCCATAACTTACTTCTCCTATTGGCCAGAATTCCTGTACACAGCCTGATTAGGCAGTCAGTACTAAGCAATTGTAGCGGCACTGAGAGCTGAAATGGAAACCAAGATGGAAAACTCTATTGGTCAAGAAAAATATGTTTCTTTCATGTATTATGCTGACCATCTCTGCAGTGGTACTGTTCATAGGCAGTGTTTAATGAAAGTACTAAAATTAATAGCACAGAGTGAATAAAGTTCACTCATAGCATATTTCAGTTACGGTACTTAAACGTGTATTAGATTGAGGTGTTTGTCAGCGTGGACAGTTTGGGAAGTGTCTGTGTAATATCAAGGCATAGCAGGAACAGACTCCTCTATATTCACGGTGTATTTTTTAGCCACTTCCAGGCAATACCCAAGCCCAAAACATGGCTCAATGTCACCAAAGAATGTACCTTTAGCTTAGAAACCTGCTTTTCTCATGGAGGAATGGCTGTGCATTCAGTTTTCAGCCCAATCAGGGGCGAGGGTCCCTTGCCTGCCTCTTGCCTCCAGGGATTGTTAGTGCTGGGCATCTCTAAGCTTTACAGTGTGGATGTGACAAAGGGAATGGGAAGAGACTGTTGGGAGAGATTTAAATAGAAATGTAAGAAATGCTCCTGGGAGTGGGCCTCACCCGGAGCTGTGTCAGAAGTGTAGGAGTGTGACTGCAGTGCAGGCACTGCACACTCATAGAGCTGGGAGCTGGGAAATGTGAGAGCTGCAGAAATGTCCGGGACATCCAGAGGTGAAGCCTGAGCTGCCAGAAGGCATTTCACACTTGTCACTGGGCCAGAGACTCCCCAGCAGCATGGCAGCAGCAGCAGCAGCCCGGCCCACGGCTGTGCAGGAACTCACACAGGCCTTGGCCGCTTTCCCTCCGGGATTGCCCATGGACTCTGGGGGGTCTTAGTGCTGGCTGTTCCTCACAGTGGCTGAGGCTCATCCGGCCAGGAAGCGCGGTGGCAGACGTGTCTGCGGGCCAGGGGTGCCACGTTCTGGCAGATGGATGGTGGTAATTTCCAGAAGGCCTCTCTGACAGAGACTCAGGGGAGCGGCAGACATGGGGGCTGGGATGGAAAAGGTTCATTTTACCACAGTCTGCTGCCAGTACAGCACCTTATTCTTTCCTGTGTTTGGCTCTTTCAGGTCATCAAGGATCCCCCTCCACCTCCACCAGTCCCAAAAGAGGTATGATCTGATGGTGCTGCTCCTACAATGCTCACACGGAACCACTCCTGTGCTTCCCTGCGCTATGCGTGTCCCGCTCCCTGCATGGCATGTCCCAGTACTGCTGGAGAAAGGACTRCCCTGGGGGAATCCTTCAGGAGAACAGGGCTGCCAAAGTGCAGATCACTGCTCTGTCTCTGCTCAATGTGGCCTGAATAAAGCCCAGATCCACAGAAACATTTAGGGCCTTTATCCCATGATAGTTGGTCATTGTTTTTCCCATTCTGCAGTGAAACCAGAAAGACTTAATGGCCCTTGTCCAACATCTAAGATTCATATAGGACTTAGGCAGCATTTCCCTCCCCCCACTCCCCCCCCCAGCTTTGGCATTCCAGACACTGAGGAATTCCCCTTACAAGGGAATTTCCCTCCCTCGTAAGGGCAGTAAGGCACTGGAGGCTCTGCTGTCCTCAGTGTTTGTGCCCCTTTCACAATCAACAGGGTCTGCTGTGTTAACTCCAGTTAAATACACTGAAAAGACTGTTCAGCATGTGTGTGTAAGTATCTTTTAAAAGTAAATATCATTTGAATGTACTTACAGGAAGAAGAGCAGGAGCCTTTGCCTTCCAAGAAGTGGCCCACAGTAGATGCTTCCTACTATGGTGGAAGAGGAGTTGGCGGGATTAAGAGGATGGAGGTTGGTATGATCTGGAGATGGCAGTTGCCTCAAGCATGGGTTCTCTGAGCCTGCAAGTATGGAAACAAAGACTTGAAAGTGCACTGAAACGAGGCCATAATGTGTGCTTGTTTCCCACTGGCATAAGCCTTGGAAAATTCGTTACCACATCAAACAGTTCTGACCTTGCCTCTGAAAGAACAGCTTTCAGTAGTTCCATTTGACTGGGACTTAAAATAGCTGCTTCAAGACATGCTCTTTCCATCAAGCTAATGAGAAAGAGAGAGTGAGAGCCTTTTCTGTGTGTTTTGGAAGGAATTACAGTGAAACATAAGCACCCCAAGTGTGGGCCAGCCAAAKGCACTGACAATGGTGACGCTGAGGAGAGGCTTGATCCCACAGGGACTCGCAGCGACAACAGAGCCTGTCTTTGAAGAGACATGATAGCATCATGTTAATTAAAACAGAATGAAGAATGTGCATCCTTATGGACACATCCTTATGGCAGGTTTTATAATCAAGTCAGTCTTTATAGAATGTGCAAAGCAGTTCCTCACTGCAATCCAGGAAGCTGTCTCTCTCTGAAACACCCACCTAGGCCATACTGAGGTGCCCTGATGAAACTTGAAAGGTATTGGCCAGATCAGCTTTGCTCGACTACTTTCTAAATGCAACAGCAGAACATGCAGGCTTGAAGCTGTGTTGCTTATATGCATTTCTTCAGCGGTTCAGAATTGCTAATTTAGAAGAGTTTCAGATTTCACAAAAAGCAAACATTTTGTGCAGTGTTTTTCAGAAGCAAACTAGGAAATGCTTTCCAACATCCAGAATTACAAGCCTGGATTTCAGAGGGAAGCTATGATAGCCTTCAGGAGGGGCTTCAAGGTTTAAACCATTCCAGTCTAAATGGGATCCTGTACAATGGAGCAGAAACCTCATGAGCACAAGTGGTATCAGGACCATTAAGAAATGCATGTTCAACCCATGGCAAAAACACAAGCGAGAGTAGAAACTGATGATTAGGTTAGAAAACCTTTTAATCTGTGGTAGGAATTTTGTGGAGGATTAAGGGCTAAAGATGTAAACCAACTGGCATTCCTGCCAGCGCAATCATGGGCCCTTGAAAGGCCCCCTTTGTGTGGGGCTGTGGCTCTGTCCGTCCCTGGGACCCCAGAGCAGTGACAGGTCTGGCTGGACACGGATGGTCAGTGCCTCCAGGTTGGACTGGGGAGCTTCACCTCTGCCCTGTGGTGGCTGTGACTGGGGCCGGGAAAATGGGCTCAGGCTGTTGGGAGAGCAGGACAGGCGTCAGGGCTCTCCCTGGCTCAGGAGAGCACACTGCTTTTTTGGGGAGTCGGGGCAGAGACCACAGATAACACTCCAAGGGAGGTTGTTTCTTACCTGGCAGTTAAAGGTGGTTTCTGTGCCGTGGCCAGTGACGAACTTGGCCCAGTCATGACATCTCTTCCGTGTCTGCAGTCCATGTTGCAGTGCGGTTGCCTGTTTTTTATTGCTTCTCTGGCCTCTATTCTTCTGCTATTCCTTCGTCAGCTTGATTCCTCTGGTAGCTTCCCTGTGTGGACAAGAGGAGGGATGGAGCCAGCACTCTCGCACTTCCCACTCCTGTGCTGGGGCAGCTGCCCATCCACTGCTGCCTTCCGCATGAGCTCCCTGCCTCTGTGACAGCCCCATAGAGCATGGGCAGTGCTGTTTGCTCTCCCTACTCTGTCTTTTGGCATTGTTTTAAAGTTTGGTGATGCCATTGCCYGACCCGTCTGTTACAGTTTATTGATTTTTATGTCAAACCTGGGTGGTCAGACTCCACCAGTTCCAGTTTCTTCTGGGTGAAGTGGCTACTCTCTGAAAGAGAAGGTAATTTTTGCAGTGAGAGATCCCCCCATCTAAATGTTTTAAGAATGTTTAAAATACATTTTAGCAGCCACATGACAACCACTGTAGAAGTACCACTGATCACAGTGAAAGACACAGGTGTACAGCGGCCTCATCGCAGGCCAGATTCCAGCAAATGGCATGATTATGGCATGTCTTGCTGAAATGATCCAGGCCACTTTCACTAAGGATTCTCAAACTCCAGCCATAGCTTTTAGCTATCCCTTTTCGGATGAGAAGGGAACAGTCTTCTCCAGGATTGTTTCAAACACCCCTGCTCAGAATGCTGCATGGTGCTTCCAGTTACAAGGTGAAATAGGATACCTGCAGCAAGGTGAATCATTCCTCTTAGCGGGGGAGGTTTTTCCATGTATTTCCTCTGCAGGGCACAATGAGTGCAACCTTTATGGAAATGGGAATATGTGTCTGTCTCCCCAGCAGTGGTAACCCAAGTTTCCTTCTCTTTCAGGTCTGTATATATTTTATACACTTACAGCGATGATTAACATACTCATTGCTACATGTCCTGCATGCCCTTAGGCAGGTTAGACTGCTTCACCTGCATTTCTCCAGTATGTATCTTCCTGTAGGACAAYATGGAAACCTAAGAGGGATCAAAGAGCTTCTGCTCAAACCTGCCCAAGCATCACATTTGATCTACACTAGGTTTCTTGAAAACTCTGGGTGAGGAAACCAGGGTTCCAGAAATCTTAGCTTTCATGGTGCCAGATTAAGGTCTGGTATTTTAGAAGTGGAAATTAYATTTTTATGTTATTACTTAGAGAAGACTTCACAGACTCCCTGTCTCCTGTACAGCCCATGTGAAGCATGACAGGATTTTCTTTCACTACTGAGACTTATTTACAGACATTTAACTAAGACTATTCTTATCATAAATTAAGAGGTAGTGTTCTCCTCAGTACCTCCTCTCTTGTTTATCCAGCTCGTCTTCCAGATTTATCCTTGTTCAGCTCTGTTACTTGTAGCAGTTTCCCTGCCCTGTGGTGCACTCACACCGGAACTCTGCCTTTCCTCAGGTGCGCTGGGGCGACAAAGGCTCCACAGAAGAAGGGGCTAGGTTGGAAAAAGCAAAGAATGCTGTGGTGAAACTCCCAGAAGAACCAGAAGAACCTTTTCACCCTAAACCGCCTAAACCAAAGCCTACCTCACCAGCCACGCAGCAGAAGTGGTACACACCAATCAAGGTAATCTGTTCAGTCTTCGGTATGATTTATCACTAAGGGCTCGATTCTCTGTGCCTTATGCAGGCTGAGCTGTGTTTCTTTCCAAGCGTTCCCATTCAAGTGTAATGTGCTATTCTCAAAGGGAACACCTACTCAGCAGGAATGGCAGGAGCAGTTTGTAGCCCTTAATGCAATACTTGATCATTACTGCCRCGTTCTGCTTGCCTTCCCTTAGAGGACATATTGTACAGTGAGAGAATTAAAATCTATGGGGGCTTTGTTGGCTTAGTAGAGCTAATTAAACCCAAAACTGCACACTTTGTAGCTGCTGCACTAAGTTTTAAATACACATTGTCATTACAAACCAAGAAAAACAAAAGATTATATAAACAATGTAATGCAAGAAGTCTGACAAGCGAATTGTTCTATCTGGTTTCATAATAATGGTGCTCTGAGTCACCAGAAAACACAGCACAAGCACTTCTTAAAAGTAGAGTGTGGGGTTGGAAATACCTTGCTTTAAGGTGTTAAGAGCAGAAAACACACTGGTGTAGCTGGGACTCTGGATACTTCTGCGTTCTCAAATGCCTGTGAATCCTTTCTGATCCCCAGAAAGCCCTGAAGCTGTTATGTCCATGCACACAGACAGGGTCTGGAAGCATCCATGCAGAGCAGGATGCTCCTAACCAGTGGCGGGTGCCCTGCACAGGAGCTGCACACACRTGGTGAATCTGCCACACCCACAGCATGTGGAACTCACCGTGTGGCACGGCCAAGTGCCACGTGCCCAGCAGGGCCCACGTGTGTGCTGTAAAACAAGTGTATTAATGTGGGATAAAGCCCAGATGGACAGAGGGGCATTCGGCCCAAAGCACAGCAAGCAAAGCACCACTCTTGGATGGCTCAGAGTACCGGTGGGTTGGGACCGGCCGCTCAGCTCCCCGGGCACATGAGTGCCATCCCTGGCACTCCGGGTGGGCAGGAGCAGCACTGCAGTGGCTRCGGGAGACACAGCCCAGGCTTAGCTCTGCTTGCCCAGCTCCAGGGATACGGTGCTCCTTTGTGGCAGTCCACATGGCCGGGATGCCCCCAGCAGCCCCAGTGTGGGTGGGCTGTGCCGTCCCCTAACTGAGCTTGCTGTGTCCCTGCAGGGCCGGCTGGACGCGCTCTGGGCGCTGCTGCGGCGCCAGTACGACAGAGTCTCGCTGATGCGGCCCCAGCAAGGAGACCAGGTGGGTGTGCGGCGCGGACCGAGAGGGGCCAAGGCACAGCCAGCCTGGCAGCTCTGGAKTGGGGGCAGAGCCACCCACCAGGGTGGCACAGCGGGAAGGGCGATGCACCGGGAAATCCGCATGGTGAAGGGGRCGTCGCACCGGTCTGGAGACACACGGCTCCTGCAGGCAGAGGGAGGGGTGCTGGATGTGCTGTGCGCTCGGGTGGAGAACAGGAACAGTCTCGTGCAGGGTACACTCCGTCACAGGCACACTAATGGCTCTCAGACTCGGCTGTTTGTAAGAGCAGAGGCTGGCAATAGTGTCCATGCAGGTTGCTTCCCAACACACCAAAGCTTTAACACCAAAGCCACCTTTCACAGAACAAAAAGGTGGGGAAATGCATTTCTCAGACAATCCTTTCTCCTGGGACACTCGCAGCTCACTGAAAAAGGAGCCTGTCCCCCAAACGCTGCTCTGATGAGGACACAGAGCTGCTGTTTGCACCTCTGACAGTGAAGCAAAATTGGGTATTTCTGATTGCTGCTCCTCCAGAAAGTATCACTTCAAATGTCAGCATTTATCTCCTGGGACCACTCAGCTTCCTGTCTGTGGCAGTTGGGATGAGCAACAGGAGCAAACATGTTCCTTTAAATAGGATGGCAACAGATCACAGTGTCACATACCATAGAGCTCTGTGCAGGAACACTGTCTGTGCACCATGAAACATGAAGGCGACATGAAAGGCTGAGAGGGCTTAAGGGGAGACAGTTAACATGTGGTAGAGTDGGAGGTAATGTAAATTTCGATTATTTTCCTGGGATGAAGTTTGGTGCTGTTCAAAAGAGAGAAGAGGTGATACTAAAGTAAGACAAGTGTTGGAAGCAGTAGAATGGCCAAGTGCAGTGCTGCAGGTGGGGAGCACAGCTGGATACAGATGTTAGCAGTGTTACMTGGACAGGTGAGTCACTGTTGGCATGAATGGTGTGCAAGACATGGAGCAGTGTTAACAACAGCAAATCTACATCCAAAATACAGGGCACACCACCACTTAACAGGTAAATTCAATGTAAACAGGAACACAGAAGTGRTGCCTTAAAAGGCTAAAAAAGTGTCAGTCAGCCCCTGTTTGGGGGATTTATGCCCCTAAAGACAGGGAGTTACTAAAAGGCCGCAGGCTTTGCTGGGCCATTTTGCAGCCAGACACCTGCCTTCTCTGGGCCTGACAGGAGCAACACTGGCCAGCACTGGCTTGTGAAAAACAAGGGTGGGGATCCCATGGAGGGCCCCTGGGTGCGTGCACATGTGGGTGGGGAGATGCACACACACACACTTGCCTTGGAAACAGCAGTCATGGAGTTGTTTTATTTCATCACCTTTCTTGTACTGTTGAAGAACTCGTCAGTTCCATTTGTAGAAGAAATCACTGCTGAATTTGAGTCCTTGATCAAACAATTGAAATGTAGGCATGAAACATCAAAGCAGAGCAAGCTGTTGCTATGTCCCTGCAGTGTCCGGCTGTGCTGTGTGGCAGGCAGTGCGAGGGCAGCCCAGCGTGAGTGCTGCACCGGGAGATGCCAGGGTGGCTCCGGCCCCGGGAGCCGCGGCTACGGGAGGCAGGCAGCGTCCAGGTGCGGGCACACGGAGCAGGCTGCGGGCACAGCTGTGCGGCGCCTGTGGGAGCRCGGGCCAGGCCAGGGCTCGCGGGGCCCGGGGGCTGCAGCAGTGAAGGTAGCATGGCTTGGACACAGCTGCTCCCCAGCTTGCCTCAGGCACAAATCCAGAGATCCAACGTTGCTGGCTGTGCTGGGGGCCGAGGACACGCAGCCACTTCAGAGACAGCTGCACGCTGTGGCAGCTGCGCCAGGCTCCCAGCGAGGGACGGGGACAGCAGGTACGGATCGAGGGCCCCACAAACAGCCTCCATTAAGCCACGAGCGCTTTTGAAGGGCTCCCATCAAACAGAGCAAGTCCGCAGCAGGAGATTTCGGCTGCAGAGCCATGTGGTGTTTTCTGCACTAACAAGGTAATTTATAAATGATGCATTACCCCATGTCTGTGCTCCTAAGATAGACTTCCTTCCCTTTTTTTATTAAAGGGGCAAAGGAGACTGAGCCACAGCAGTTTGGGCTACTCTGATAAACCAGTTCAGTGTTCGAGGGTTTGTACTGAACTCCTTTTCTCAGGCGTCTGGGGCTGCCCAGGAACACAGCCTGGCACAGGGGCCCGGTTTTTGCTCKAAATCCGTCTTTGTTTTCCAACTCATAATTTAGCACCAAGAGGTGATCATCAGGGGTTTGGATTCTTTGAGCTTGTTGCAATGTCATAGTGGCTGAGACTCTGATCCTGTATGCATTTATGCACACAAATGTCTTAAGTCCACAAATAGCCGATGGCACTTGAAGTGAAGATTCTGCCCTATCAGGATGCAAACAGGTGTCARTGGTAAAGTCAAGACTGTACCTCATTCTAGAAGAACCAGAAGAGGAGAGAACCATAGGATTCTTCCAGCTTGTGCTTCAATGTACAAATTTGCCTTTCAAAAAGGAAGACACTTGTACTTTTAAGCCTATTAGCATTTACTTGCTTAAAATCTCTTTTCTAATAATGGCTGCAGAGTTAACACAAACATCTGTTTAAACTGTTACTTTGGAGCATCTCTGCATGATACTAAAGTAATACATTTTGCATGTGAAAGATGTGGATAGCGTTGCTCCCTCCTGAAGGACGCTCCTGGTCACTGGAGTCACAGCCTCGCCCTATAACCTGGGCTGCTCTAAGGAYGGGCAGGCTGGCTGCCAGGTGCCCATCCCGACTAGAGTGGCTCTCCCAGCAGCCGGGTTTGCTGGCAGTCAGTGGAAGCTGGAGGGATCATCTTGCTGAAGAGAGGATGTTGTACTGGTGTCAGGAGAAACAGGGATATTTTCTCAGCTTCGTAGGCAGCAGTTCTTGGCACTTCCTCCCTTGGTGCAGATGAGTCTGCTGCTCTCTTAAACGAGCCTCTGTGAGCACTGGTAGGAATGAGAGAGCAGGAACAAAGGGACCTGCTTGTTGGGTTCCAAGGCCGTGTGGCAGCGCAGGGGGACAGCCATGAATGCCATCTGAGAAAGAAATGCCAGTCCTGGGGGGAGCACGGATGTGCCACAGCTGTCTCACAGCTTYGCTGCCACCATATGAGCAGTTCAGCCTCCCAAGGTGAGCCAAAGGAAACCTTTCCATGGACAGACCAGGTAATCACCAAGTGTTTCACTGTGCAGGATTCCTAGGCAGCAAACACATTTGTTTTCCTCATCCTCACGACACCTTTCTCATGGAGTAAGCTGCAGCAGAGTGATGCACAGGCCTGTGCCCCTGCCCAGATTATTCCTCCCCTGTGAACTGGCGGCGCAGGGCAGCTGTCCGAGCGGCTGGCTGGGATTTGGGAATGGCCGCTGAGCTAATCTCCGGGCTTTGCGGATGAAGGAGGCAGCAGATAACAGGATTAAAGTTTCCTGACCCGGGGTTTTCACAGCCTGAGACGCGGGCGGAGGGGGAGACAGAATGACTTCTGTCATTAATCTTAATTGATTGCCAAGAGGTTTTTAATCTGGCTTATTAATTAGGAAGGTCCTTAACACACTGTCTACATATCAACATCAGATGCTCTT